CTTGGGCAAGGCTGCAGTTTCGATTCTTTCAGAATCTCTTCAGTTGCCTCCTAAAAACAAATTTGTCACGGAAGAATAACAGGAGTCGCGCAGGCCCGCAAACACTTTTTCAATTTTCGAAGGAACGGCAACAGACAGTGAATCCCCGTTACATTCCACGTTTATTCACGCTATCTCGCTGCCACCAGAGATGTTCACTCGACCGCGACAGGATGCAAATGACTCGCTTTTCGTTTTATGACCATGATGCAACGCAATCAGAGTCAGCACACCACCTGGCGCTGGAGAGACTTCGCTTGAAATTAATTGATGACATCCAATCAACATGTCAGCAAAACACATAAAACTTTCTAAATTATCCTGTTGTAACAGCTGCCCTAGCTGTTCCTAGTCACCTTTTTTATACTTGAAAGGCTGGTAAGGAGACTAAAGCTCTAATTGTGGTGGTAAGAAATACGGATACATCGGTTATGTACATGATAGACTTGTAGGTATTCATTGCATTGATGATATTTTCCTAGTAGTTAAAAGAAAAATTTCCTTTTCCAGACACGGAAGAATATTTCTGCCACAACTAAGGCCAGCACATGATGTTTTTCCGTATAATTCCTTTTCCTCGTTAAATTGCAAATCCAAGTCTATTTTCCTGTTTTATTTCAGGAACAAAAAGACTAATCGAATTTTAATAAGCTTACAGCTTGAAAAACACGGGTCTGGTTGAAAAAGGAGGAGATTCAGAACGGCCGCTGGCGATCGTAGAAACAATCGCAATCAGAGTCAGCACACCACCTGGCGCTGGAGAGACTTCGCTTGAAATTAATTGATGACATCCAATCAACATGTCAGCAAAACACATAAAACTTTCTAAATTATCCTGTTGTAACAGCTGCCCTAGCTGTTCCTAGTCACCTTTTTTATACTTGAAAGGCTGGTAAGGAGACTAAAGCTCTAATTGTGGTGGTAAGAAATACGGATACATCGGTTATGTACATGATAGACTTGTAGGTATTCATTGCATTGATGATATTTTCCTAGTAGTTAAAAGAAAAATTTCCTTTTCCAGACACGGAAGAATATTTCTGCCACAACTAAGGCCAGCACATGATGTTTTTCCGTATAATTCCTTTTCCTCGTTAAATTGCAAATCCAAGTCTATTTTCCTGTTTTATTTCAGGAACAAAAAGACTAATCGAATTTTAATAAGCTTACAGCTTGAAAAACAAACGGGTCTGGTTGAAAAAGGAGGAGATTCAGAACGGCCGCTGGCGATCGTAGAAACACACACTTACAGTGGGTAAGGCAGGAAACGCTTTTCTATTTCTATTTTCTTTTCTATTTTCTTTCCCCGCCATTCGCTTGCCCTTTTAAATCTTCTGACCTAAAAGCTTTGCTATTATAAGGATATCTTTTATGACTTTTGTTTGCGATGTATTAAGAAAGGTTAGTTTAAGGTGTCATTTCTCCATTTCTATATTCGTGATCTTCTTGAGGTTTGGCAAAGCCAAAAGTGTTACAAACGGAAATATTTTCCTTTGTGCGCGCTATTTTTTTTCCAGGTAAACTGTCTCTCCCGCATAGTAACCACAGAGATAGGCTTCTCAAAATCTTATTCTAGGTATTCTTTATTCTTTAAGCTTATTTGAACCTCTGTGCGTTTTTTATTGAACGTTGAGTGTGTTTAAATTGCAAATCCAAGTCTTTTTTCCTGTTTTTTTTGGCTTTTGTGAAGTTTTTATTGAACGTTGAGCGTGTTTAAATTGCAAATCCAAGTCTATTTTCCTGTTTTTTTTCAGGAACAAAAAGACTAAGCGAATTTTAATAAGCTTACAGCTTGAAAAACAAACGGGTCTGGTTGAAAAAGGAGGAGATTCAGAACGGCCGCTGGCGATCGTAGAAACACACACTTACAGTGGGTAAGGCAGGAAACGCTTTTCTATTTCTATTTTCTTTTCTATTTTCTTTCCCCGCCATTCGCTTGCCCTTTTAAATCTTCTGACCTAAAAGCTTTGCTATTATAAGGATATCTTTTATGACTTTTGTTTGCGATGTAATAAGAAAGGTTAGTTTAAGGTGTCATTTCTCCATCTCTATATTCGTGATCTTCTTGAGGTTTGGCAAAGCCGGAAGTGTTACAAAAGGAAATATTTTCCTTTGTGCGCGCTATATTTTTTCCAGGTAAACTGTCTCCCCCGCATAGTAACCATAGAGATACGCTCCTCAAAATCTTATTCTAGGTATTCTTTATTCTTTAAGCTTATTTGAACCTTATTCGTTTCGATTCTTTCAGAATCTCTTCAGTTGCCTCCTAAAAATAAATTTGTCACGGAAGAATAACAGGAGTCGCGTTCGAAGGAACGGCAACAGAGAGTGAATCCCCATTACAATCCACGTTTATTCACGCAATCTCACTGCCACCAGAGATGTTCACTCGACCGCCACAGGATTCAAATGACTCGCTTTTCGTTTTACGACCATGATGCAACGCAATCAGAGTGCGCACACCGCCTGGCGCTGGAGAGACTTCGCTTGAAATTAATTGATGACATCCAATCTACATGTCAGCAAAATACATAAAACTTTCTAAATTATCCTGTTGTAACAGCTGTCCTAGCTGTTCTTAGTCACCTTTTTATACTTGAAAGGCTGGTAAGGAGACTAAAGCTCTAATTGTGGTGGTAAGAAATACGGATACATCGGTTATGTACATGATAGACTTGTAGGTATTCATTGCATTGATGATATTTTCTTAGTAGTTAAAAGAAAAATTTCCTTTTCCAGACACGGAAGAATATTTCTGCCACAACTAAGGCCAGCACATGATGTTTTTCTGTATAATTCCTTATCCTCTTTGAATTGCAAATCCAAGTCTATTTTCCTGTTTTTTTTCAGGAACAAAAAGACTAAGCGAATTTTATGAAGCTTACAGCTTGTAATACAAACGGGTCCGGTTGAAAAAGGAGGAGATTCAGAACGACCGCTGGCGATCGTAGAAACACACACTGACAGTGGGTAAGACAAGAAACGCTTTTTGAACACAACATTTGAAGAGGTCACTACACATGGCAACGAGCGACGGATTTCCCATAGCAATAGTTGTCACATTCATATGTGTTTATTTCCTAATCTTCCTGTCGTCTATCGTGGGGAACTCATTCGTTCTTTGGCTGTGTTACAAACTAAAACGACAACGAGAGTCTTCTTTGACGTGTTGTATCGCCAACTTGGCAATTGCAGACGTAGCATTTACGGTACTATCCATTTTTGACTTGATAGTATTCTTGTGGACCTGGGTAGGCGGCGAGATATCCTGTAAACTACAAGGCTTTTCCATTGAAGCGTGTTATTGCACCTCCTTAATGACTCTTGCTCTTATTAGTTTTGAGCGTCTGAAGGCTGTGGTAGACCCCTTAAGTGTCAGACTCATCACAAGGGAAAATATGCGACGAAAGTTAATCGCTGTTTGGTCAGTTAGCGCAGTCGTCGCTTCGCCTTTGCTTTATGCTTATCAAACCCAAACAGATGACACAGGAACCGTCTCCTGCACGAATATCATGTTCGGGGATATGGCGCGACAGATCTATTATACTATTCACACATTTTGTTTTTTCCTTGTACCTCTTGTCTACATGATAGTTGTTCAGAAGAGAATATTTCTATCCTTACGCTCAAGCGTTGCTTCAAATACATCAAACACCATAGCTTCCGTACGTTGTAAGCGGCATTACAAAGTGGCCAAGGTCTTGGCAGCACTTACAATAGCGTTTCTTATATGTTGGTCACCTTTCATGGTCACACGCACGATGATGTACTTCCATCTCACTAATGGTGGTTATGTATGGCGAGCGTCTCAATTATTAATTCTGTTAAATACGGCCTTAGATCCAATATTATACGGAGTGTACGGAGAAGCTATGAGGCAGTATGCTCGAAGTTTATTCAAGAAAACAGGACAGCCCCCGTTTCCTCGTGTGGACCCTCCCCGTGACAGACAAGAAAGAGTGCAAGTACCGGATTCACAAGCCATTGAACTTGATTTTATGAAGTGAAATAAACCGCAATAATTTAGTGAGGTGTCGGCTTTTTAACCCCTTACCCACTAACATCAGTATGTATATTCTCCAAACTGTTCTCCATTCATCTCCTGGCGTGCCGACGGGGAGAATTT